GTTATTAAATTGTATAACAAAATCTCGCGCGAATGCGCGGATCATATTCTAGTTAATAAAAATGTTAGGGAAAAACTCAATTTCATCCCTGATTTTTACAGTAAACAAAACAAATTGGTCTTATGTTCATACAATACAAGTAACATTTTTATAGTAGTTTTGCTATATTTACGTTGTCTCTTTGTTTTCTCATTTTATTGGATGGTAGTTGCAATTTGGCAAGAATTATGTTGTCCATTTGTTATCTCATTTTGTTGATTTTGGGGGTCGGTTGGTATAAGATCTCAAACCCCGGCTTTAAAGAACAAACCGAACTAAACGTTATAAACTACAAATTGAATATTGATGAAAAAAAAAAGCAAAATGAATGTGATTTGTCCACAAGACAGTTGAAAAAGCTACATGACAAATAATGTATATTGTTGAGATTTCACCATCACAATGCTTCTTGCTAATTAAACATAACACTCTTGATTGTCATTTTTTGTTAAATTTAATCACTTGATTGTTCACATAAACCAAATATCAACACCTACATCAAAATTTTTTATTGTAACAAAAACATTAAGCAATGATTAGAAAAATATTGGAGTCACTTTCAGAGTTTGTCTATTTTCACACCCAAACACATTTAGAATATCTATTATAAACGTACAAGTTTCTTTGACTTGGTCACAATAAGAGTTCCAAACTCTTTGATCACTCCTAATAATAATTGATACTAAAGTCCGTAGAAATGTCATTATGTATCATCATGTTTTATTTCAGATCTGCGATCAAGTTTTACTGGGATTTGGGAATGAAGATGAAGCTTATGATAACAGTCGTCACTTGCTTAGTACTCTGGTCGGTGATGTTACTATCATTCTCCAACGTTTTCAAACACCAGCTTCTTGATGTTACAATCAACGGTAGTAATGATCATTTATCTTTTGGATGACTTATTTAGAAATGCTCCTTTTTGACATCATATTTCATTTTCTTGTATTAATAGGTTCAAAGGATTCCGAAAAACCGAGGGATAAACTGTTAGGAGGGCTTTTAACCGATGATTTTGATGAAGATTCTTGCTTGAGTAGGTACCATAAGTCTTTCTTGTATCGCAAGGCTTCGCCGTACAAACCTTCTGAATATCTTGTCTCCAAGCTAAGAAGCTACGAGATGCTTCACAAGCGTTGCGGTCCAGGCACAAATGCTTACAAGAAAGCAACAAAGAAGCTTAATCAAGATGAGAATTATGCAAAGAAATCTGTTGGTGAATGCAAATACATTGTGTGGATCGCAAGTTACGGTCTTGGAAACAGAATACTTACTCTTGCTTCTGTCTTCCTCTATGCTCTATTGACCGAGAGAATCGTTCTTGTTGATCAAAGCAAAGATATAAGCGATCTCTTTTGCGAGCCGTTTCCAGGTACTTCATGGCTACTTCCTCTTGACTTTCCATTGATGAGTCAGCTAGATAGCTACAACAAGAATTACTCTCGTTGTTATGGAACAATGTTGATCAATCAATCCATTAACTCGACTTCGATCCCACCACATCTATATCTTCATATTCTACATGATTCAAGGGATCAAGATAAGATGTTCTTCTGCGGAAAGGATCAAACTTTAATCAATAAAGTCCCTTGGTTGATTGTTCAAACCAATGTCTACTTTATCCCATCTCTATGGTTAAATCCAACTTTCCAAACCGAACTAATCAAGTTATTCCCGCAGAAAGAGACCGTCTTTTACCACTTGGCTCGGTATCTTTTACACCCGACTAACCAAGTTTGGGGTATGGTCACAAGATCCTACGATGCTTACTTATCAAGAGCAGACGAAACACTCGGTATTCAAGTCCGGGTTTTCAGCAGACGTGCTGGATATTTCGAGCATGTCATGGACCAGATCCTAGCCTGTACACAAAGAGAGAAACTTTTACCTCAAGTAGCTTCACAAGAAGAATCACAAGTAGTCATCACTACTAATAATACATCGAAAACCCCGAAACTTAAAGCTGTCCTGGTCACATCTCTGTATCCAGAGTACTCTGATACCTTAAAGAACATGTATTGGGAACGTCCAACTTCTACAGGAGACATTGTACAAGTTTATCAACCAAGTGGAGAAAGAGTTCAACAAACAGACAAGAAGCTTCACGATCAAAAGGCGCTTGCTGAAATGTATCTTCTGAGTTTAACTGATAACATTGTGACAAGTGCAAGGTCTACATTTGGATATGTTGCTCATAGTCTTGGAGGATTAAAGCCATGGTTACTTTACCAGCCAGTGAGAGGCAGAACTCCTGATCCACCATGTGTTAAAGCTATATCTATGGAGCCTTGTTTTCTTACTCCTCCGAGTCATGGATGTGAAGCTCAAAAGGGAATCAACTCGGCGAAAATCGTTCCTTTTGTGAGACATTGTGAGGATCTTAGACATGATGGGCTTAAGCTATTTGATGATATCAAAGATGAGTTATAGAACTTTTATTTTCAGTTCAAACAGAGAGAATCTTGGATAGATTTATGATTTTGCATGTATAGGCAATGTTTCTATCTTCGTCTACATAAAACATGAAATAATCAAATTAAATCCAATTTTAATTTCAACCATCAAATTTTATCTGAAAACCTATTAATACTTATTACTATCATGACAAAAAAAAAACTACTCGTTGTTATTGACCTATATGGCATTTGGAGAATCAGCGTGATTTCGAATGAGGCACGAGTATGAGATTTTGTTAGCATCTCTATTACCACTATGTTCATGTGACGATGCTCTGTTTTTATAATTATGAACATTGTTTTTTTGTATTCTCTATTGGATATTTTACTATATTCAATGGAAGTTGATAAAAAAAAAAAATACTATAAACTGAGTCACCCACATGTATATTGAAAAATTATATTACCTTTTTCCTATAAATTAGTCAATCCATATCACAGCATTAAATTTCAAATTTTCATTTAAACCATTAAGCTTTTTATGGAAAACTATTAGTATTTTAGCTATTAATATTGACCTCTGTGTATATATATACTAACAAATATATGGAAATAATCATCTTACTTTCTCCTAAAAATTAGTCAATATCACTTTACCTGCTGTCAATAATACCTTATTAAAATATAGTCATTTTCATTTTAGCAGATTGAGATCTTATTAGCATAAATACAATATGCGTGCATATAGACTATAATTTTATATATAAGAAAGCAAAAATCTCTGTTCTTTTTTTTTGTATTTTTTTACTCACCTCTTTGTTCTTCTTTTGGTATTCTGTGCTTTTTTCTTTTGTCTTTGTTTTTTTTGTTTTTGCTTTTTTTACGAAAAACATGGTTTATTGTGTTTATGAATGTGTTTCTTAAGTTATACAGTATGTGTTTTCAATAAAAAACATA